ATAGTTTTTGGGAGTTGAGATTTTATTTCTTTCTTATTATTGACTCTTCTTTTGTACTACTCATTAGCTGATGATTTGGACATTATGACTTGTTTGACTAAAGGTTGGCAATGCAGCATGGGTTGTCTTCAAGTTTACGCAACTTATCGAATCTCTTAATTACCTATTATATGATCTATTTAATTATGTTATTTACTATCTTTAGGTTCATGAGGAAGTCAATATAATTATTTTAATATTATTATTGTCTGGAAATAAGTAATGTCAAGCTTTGGACCCCAAAATTTGTCTAGCTAACTTTTAATGGAGAAACTCATCTTCTAACTCGTTCTAGCTCGCAAAATGAGCAAGTTAAAATGCGATGTTATCTTTTGATCGTGTGCCAAATCATATGTTCTTTTTAATTTGAGACGTCACAACATATTAAATATCGTTACATTAATAGTATTGTATGCTTATGGGTATCTAAAACTTGGACTAACTTGGTTTTGAATATATCAAATATAAGAAGTTTGTTGAAGACCTGGTGAATGTATCAAGCCTCCTCAATCACGAATCAGATTACTCGAAAATAATCTAAAGATATATAACATATCTAAAGATATATAACATTGTTATTCGTATAGTTTACATATATGTGAACATCAGTACGACAACTTTCCTCTTTAATGTCAATCAACAACTCGCGACAATAGAAGAAATGATTATCTAACCATCCATTTAATACCATAAGAAGGATGACGCCAAAGGAAGAATACCTCGTTACCCCCTTTACTTGGCATGATGTATACAGTATGCATCTAAACTTTTGCATACTTGGCTATTTTATACTCACCCTTGATTTTGAAACCATTACGACTATCATACATTTCTATAATATTTGGGATGTTGGATTTATAAAAATGCTGAGTTGCTTGCGATCACTCATTTGATCGATGTACTTTACCTCATACTGAATTCAAGGCTTGACGTTTTACTGAATTCTTATCCTTCAATACCAATCAAAAACGATGATTTGTGTGGTGTCCAATTTTCGCGTGCACTGATTTATTGAAGGATCTGGTTCTTCTATGTGTTCCTTAATCTACAGTTGCAGAATAGTAATGCAGAAAGTAAAGAACACAAGTATTTTTACGTGAAAAACACCCAACTCAAAAGGTGAAAAAAACACGACCTACTTTTCAGTAGGATTTTTCCCAACGTTTCACTACAACTCTTAGCCAAACAATAATGTTTACAAACCTCTTGTAAACCTAAGGATTAAACTCTAACCCTTGTAGCAACAAGCCTCAGGCAATTGAGCTGAAAGGTACAACTCAAAAGCTCCAACTACAATTGAGCTAGATTAAAATACAAACGCATAGAACTGGTTCTTCTATCTGATTCATGTAGCTCCATGTAGATTAAAATACTGATTGTGAATAGGTTCGGAGCATTTAGAGACCGAATCGAGGGGCAAGAGCATTCCGGAGTAGGAGTTCTACATTGTTGAGGTAAGTAACAGTTTTAAATCTGGTTTTGAGGGTATAAAACCCAGAGTTTGGTATAATATGACTGTTTGGGGGTGGCACCCATGCCAGGTGACGGGCATGCGAGTGTACACTGTGAGGGATTGAGACTTGGTCCGTCCCGAGAGACTGTGAAGTCTAATAGCCTTTAATTGTGTTTATATGCATTCCTCTCTACTAGAACTTGACTGTTTTCGTATTAGAAATCATGCTTAGGCTATATTCTTGCTCATGGTAGCTATACTCAGTCATAGTGATTCCTGTACATGTTTACCTCAGTCTCTGTTATTTGTTTTCCCTGATGATATACTATAACACTTTGATTTGGGTTGTTTTCCCTTTTTTTATTGAGAGCTGTGAGACTAGAGAGGTTCATGACTGAGTAAGGCTGAGGACCTAGTTGAGAGGTATTGTTATATGGCACGTGAGTTGTCCGTGCGGATTTTTATATTTATACTATGGCACGTGAGTTGTCCGTGCGGATCCAGATATGATATTATAGCACATGAGTTGTCCGTGCAGCACATGAGTTGTCCGTGCGGATTAGCGCTTGGGCTGTAGGATCCCCTCATGAGTCTGAACACCCCTAGTGAGCGCATGTACCTATTGAGAGTGTGTATTGAGGGCTGAGAGTCGAGAGTGTGAGCTGTTGAGATGGGTTGACTGACTGCTGTCTTCAGAGGCTATACTTGTTTTTATTTATTATTGCACTTAGTTGTTATCTGTTGCTGTTGTGAAATTTCTGGAAGATTCACATCTGTTTTATATGAGCGCGAACTGATTTGACTTATACCATAGGATTTGAAAGCATGTTCACTCTTTACTGAAAACTTTTAAAATGAACTGTATTGTATAGCTCGACACTGCTTCTCAGTTCCTTATTTATTTCTGTTACTTGTTGAGTTGATTGTACTCATGTTACACCCTCCACTTCATGTGTAGATCTAGGTGTATTTGATCACTGAGATCGTTGAGTTCGGGCGTGATCGAGTACCGTAGACTACGAGGTAGCTGCCGGCGTCCGCAGGACCTTGTCTCTCCTTCTATATATTTCTTTCTGTCTTGTATTGATGCTTAGACACTGGTTGTATTAGTTTGGTTATCTAGATACTCATGACTTAGTGACACCGCGATGTCGGACTATTTTTCCGCACTTATGTTTTTATTTGGGTCTTACCCCATATTTATGGAAAACTACGGATATTTTAAATGTCTTAATTCACTTCTGTTAAAATTTTGAAAGAGTCTTGGAAAGGTCGACTTGCCTAGTACCACGATAGGCGCCATCATGACAGGTTAGGTTTTGGGTCGTGACACAATTTTTGCTTAACTTCAGTGTGTGTGCGTAACCTGTAAAAGAGAACACAACTGATATATATAGAGTTAGTAGGATTAGGATTAACTAGAAACCTGATGCTTTACTCTTCCTTGGTGGAATAGTTTTAGTTAACTTCAATTTCTAACTCTTTCCTTATCTTGGATAGAGTTCTCTTCAAGTAAGGAGTCCTGCTGTTTATCAATTATGCAATCTTTTCGTTCAGGGAATATCATAAATAACCACTTATACTTATCCCTTGCACATGCATGCCTTTTGCTTAAATCTGACTAGGACATGTGTACATTGTCCATAAACTTGGTTCATGCATGTGTTACTTTGTCAATCATCAAAATCAAAACCGCCCAGGTCAACATTTACCAAGAGCTATGTTGAGTTACCTGCATCGCTGGCGAACAAGATTTATAGAGTTGAGACCCGTTGATTTTGATGTTTTTTAAATAATAAATTGCTCCCAATAGCCTTAGTCCTCATTGGATTAGCAAAAACTGTGTGTTGATCTTGTGAATCAATCATAATTACAGAAATTATTCATAGGTTATCTCATATAGCTATTTCATACTCCAGTATGTCTTGATTTCCATTGTATACTTGGCTATAAGCTCTTGACGATATTGCTTGATTATCATAATGGAAAGAAACTGGTGTACAATTATCTGCAACGATTTTTTTAAAGATGAATTATCTGCAACGACTAATCCTTAACAAATTTAAAAATCTCTTCATTTTACCTATAAATGCAGGTTAAATGAAGAGGAAGTTCACTTAAGTTAACAAGGCTAAAAACTCGTTGAGTCTAATAGTCTCTCAAGCTCTCGTAGGCATTTTGAAGAATAACCGGCACATAAAACAAAAAGGGTGTGCATTATTCGGATCAAACCAAAAATTCAAATCGAACCAAATTATTTATGTTTGGCTTTGGGTTTTTTTTTTTTAAAAGTGAATATATATNAGAGATTTAAATAATACTTAGTAAGAGATATATCTTTTACAAGTAAGAAATCTAAAAATAATACATTCTTAATTTCAACATTTTAAATGGCCTTCGAGACCCATTTCCACTACATCATTTATGATATTAGGCGTGCAAGCTTATTGTTGTTGGCTGTTGCATTATGCTTTTACAGGAGAGTAGAAGTGTTTGGCTATCTAATCAAAATATGTATAATAATCTTATCAATATATAGTAATTATTTCAATTATATGCATTGAATTTTGAAAAAATATCTAAGAGATTTGACATGAATACTTTTCATTCTTTATAAATAGTTATTAATATAACTATTCGATTATATTATATCCATATTATCTTACTCATCCGTTTCAAAAAGAATGAATATTTTACTATTTAGGGAATCAAATAAGGTTGTTTTTAACCATGTTTTTTTGTAAATAGTTTTTAAATATTTTGAATTGTTAAATTGACTTATAGAACTTTTTAAGCAGTTTTTTAAATTTTATTTCAAAAAAGTTAAAGAATCTATGTCCAAATTCACACCAAGATTTAGTCAATTTGACTCTCGTACTCCAAAAAAGTTCAAACAAACTGAAACCGAAAGAGTATATGATATAACCGAATAACCAAAAAATCAAACCGAAAAGAAAAAACCCAAACCTAACCAAATTTACTTTGATTCGAATTGGATGATATTTTTTTTCAAAATCAAAAACTGAAATGAGAAACAAAATAATGCAAAAGCAAATCAGAAAACTATATGCACCCAAACAAGTTAGAGTCGGATATACGAATTCTCGCTAACCACATTACTCGGTTAAATATCATCTCATGCCACGAATCAACACTTTGATGCAAATTCTTTATTTCTTTTTCCTTGGGATACCACATAGTCCCACCATTGGAGCTATAGATGGATTATTTTATCGAATAGAAAAATTATTACAAAATGCATTTGAACGCATGAGACCATATCTTCCTGCAGCTGACGTATGAGACCATGTTTTGCTGCAGCTAACATATAGTAATCCTAACTTATGTAGCAAAGAGACCATACGCTAACTAAAAAAAAGAAAGATGTATGTTTTCCAAACTCTAATGTAAAGAAATGAAACTGTCACATTTAAAAGCTTCCTGACTTGAGTAGGTAATTCAGTGGAGCTATTGAAGAACAGATAATGTTGCATATCAGATCCACTACTGAAGGAGAATCAAGAAAGATGCCATGGATATAATTGAATAAGAAAATTCACCTTTTTTACAAGTTTGTTGAAATTGCAGCCCTCTCTATCCAAATGGCTTGTTCATTCTACATCTCTCGATTCTATTCGATTTTTAAACACGATTTCTGAGGTAAAAAGACTAAAAACCTAAAGTATAAATTAGCCTGAGCAGTGAGCATTACTTCAGATGAAAATGGCATTATGCATTTTGCAGAACATTTTACCAACACGTGCACACACATAGGAGTCCTCCTTTCCTGACAAAAGTTACAACAGTTCTTCACCTATTATCTGCAAGCCACTTCAAGAAATCAAAACCAGGTGGCAATCACGACACTGTTTCGAATAGTTTTAGTATACACAGCGGTAACTCGGCAGAAGACTTCAAAGATGACCTTTGTAACTGCCCAAAATCATAAAGAGACCAAAGAACGCTTAATGCGTAAATCATTTTTAACATTACATATTTGTGCCTCTTTCTGTGTTTCCCAACTGTTTTTGGAGTTGAAGACAGAGTGCCGACACATCACAAAGCAATTTCTGGTATTGGCATACAGGTAATGCCTCATAAGATATTTGACTGGGGTGCACTAGTAAATTTTGGAGTTGCATACATAGCATCGATGCCTTTCCATCATTTTCACATGATTTAGCAATTAACTGAAGCAGTGTAAAACTTTGCTCCGGAGGAGCAGGTAACTGTGGCGGAACAGGGGGAACGAGGAAAGGATGTTGAAGTAGTTGAGGAATCCTCCATCTTTCATTTCGATCCCATGCTAGACACTTCTTCATAAGATCAAGTAGCCAAGGGTTGGACAAAGGTTCATATGTGATTTCATGGTTTGGATCTGTTATAACTTTGAATTTCGCCCAGAAAGTTTTGTATTCTGCAAAGGGTGTTCTCCCATAAACCATTTGGTAAAGGATACATCCTAACGACCAGATATCTGAGGGCCGACCACACTTTATGGTATTGCCATTTGCATCTGTCTCATTACACATAAAGGCTTCAGGGGACATGTAGCTTAAAGTACCCACCTGTATAAGAATTAACATCCACTAAGAAAGCAAGGATGAAGTTGACATTGCTGATTACTATATTTTTATCTTCCTTTTGGCAGTACACTTCTTTCTTTTTGTTGCCGATGTGAGGCAATCAGATGCATTTCATGTAAATCATAAAGCAAAAAAGTGAAATACCTGCGAATCACGTTGAATGTTGGTTGTGTCACTCATTATAGCCTTCGCTATACCAAAATCAATCAGCTTTAGTGAGCCTCTGACAAGAAGGAAATTAGCTGGCTTTAGGTCCGAGTGGACTATCCGTTCTTCATGTATGGTGTTAACAGCAAGAAGTATTTGCTGCAAAGATTGTTAAAAACTTTTGAGTACATTTCAAAAATATTAAACTTTTACCAGATTCCCAAAACCACATCATGTACAACATACAACAGTAGAAAATGAGAATAAGTATTGGTCTTACTTTGAATTATAAGCTTTTGTTGAGGGCAACAACAACAACAACAACAACAACAACAACAACAACAATAATAATAATAATAATAATAATAATAATAATAATTAATAATAATAATAATAATAATAATAATAATAATAATAATAACAAATGAGCTAGGTATAGAGGTGGGTACTGAAAGATTATCTTTAACTTGACTGCCCAGAACAATTTGAATAATATTTCACTATGAAGAAACTTAAGCAGAAAAAGAAAAAAAATACCATAAACCAAAAAGGTTTGCAGATTGAGATAGAAAAGCGATGATCAATTTTTTGAAAAGCAACTGACTGAACTTCTTTTCTTCTGTTGTTTATAGCATTTGCTTATGACATACAGGAACAAACTCCCAACTTGGACTGTGTTTCAGTGATGGCCAGTCTCAGATAAGGCATTTTGCCCTAGGTCTGTCTCCAGCTTTGTGAATTTAAGTTGAATATGGAATTGCATAAACAACAACAACAACCCAGTAAAATCCCACAAGTGGGGTCTGGGGAGGTTAGTGTGTACGCAGACCTTACCCCTATCCCGAGGGAGTAGAGAGGTTGTTTCCGATATACCCCCGGCTCATGTAAAATTGATAGAACAGAGAGAATAAAATGGGGAAAGGATCAACTTTCCACCATTCATTTTGAAGGACTGCTAAAGAACGTTGAGGTTCAAGAGCTCATCAAGACATAATACTGAGAATGGTCATCGAAAGCACATTCCCAATAAGACAACTTGGAACAGTATTTTATCTTCGCCAAAAGCCCGAGAAAGGTATTTTGGATCCCATCGGTTTTGACCTTCATGAATATACGCTAAAAACTCTGTTAGCAAAGAACAGCGCGTAAAAGGTATTCGCAAATGAGTCGACTTACCCCTCTGGGATTGTTATATCTTTCTAATGAGACCCTAGAATCTTGTGTCCTCCTAAAATGCACACTTATATCAATATGCAGGAATGAGATGTGAATGATGAAATGTTATAACTCTTTAAAAGCATAAGATGAATTACAGATTGAGCAGCTTGAATTGCACATTGCAACCGAACAATAGCTGTAATCCTAATTGTTCCAGAATTAAATACTTAAACTGGAAGTACCATAATGAGGTATATTGAAGTCAAACATAAATTAATATTGGCTTAATACATATTTTACCCCTCCACGGAAATTCCTTTTAAACACCTTTTCTTTGCAAGCATCCGTTTACACCTTAATTTGTAAGATTCGTGTCTAAATTCCTCTGAACAGCCTACGATCACTTTCTTCTTCAAGTGCACAACACGCGCCACTCACGGCTCAATATGTGTCGTAAAGTAAAAAGAAAAAGTATATTTTAAAAAGCAAACTACCAATTTCTTAGCAAAAATTTCCCCTTTATTTCTCTTTTTCTTCCTCCATTTCCAACCAATACAGGCATGCTGACATTTTCCAGTCCTAATTTTCAGTTTTTCATTGTCCAACACCCTCAATCGCCCTAAGCCAACTCCTAAAAAAGAAAAGAAAGAGGGAGACAAACAAACTAACAACAACAAACCCAGTGTAATCTCATAAATGGGATCTGGAGAGGGTAGTGTGTACGCAGACCTTACCCCTACCTTATAAAGGTAGAGAGGTTGTTTCCGATAAACCCTTGGCCATTAATGCACATTGATTCGCTATTGGGTGGTTTTTCCCTCCGAATAGCCCACATTACCAGTCAGTAGAGCTTCTCTCCTGTCCCATGTCAATTTACTTCCATGCATAGACCCCAACGGCCTGAAATTTTTCAAACACAAGAAAGTTGTATTGTCCACAAAAATCTGTTTCAAAGTCCAACGAAGCAAAATTTCAGACTGAAAATCCCTTCTCTTTACAGCTATATGTCCTCCTACATCACCAGTGCACCTCTGAATCATAATGCTCAAGGGAATTGCAGCTTCAAACACAGAAGCAGAAGAAGCAGAAGAAGAAGCAGGCAGAAGAAGAAGAAGAAGAAGAAGAAGAAGAAGAAGAAGAAGAAGAAGAAGAAGAAGAAGAAGAAATTTCCAGGATAAACAAATTTGCTTTTGACAAATTTCTAATGTGTGATTATATAAGAGTTTATTTAATAGTGATGAAGAAAGTGAATATGATAACAAGATGATGCTTTCTCTTCAAGGAAACTTATGTGAGATTATTAGGGTTTATTTAGTAGTGATGAAGAAGAGACTGTTCTGTAGCATCATCTTCCTTCCTTGCCGCCCTTCTCCGACTAGTATTTGCCCCTCTGTTTCAGTACTAGAATAATCATAACCAATGTTGGAAGAGACCCAAAATATCGATAGAGGGAGTCTGGGGATTCAAAGAAAGAGAATTTCCTCGAAAATTTTTCATAAGTTTCTGGAAGGTAAAAATTTTCATCAAATAAACTCAGAAAATCATCAAATTCACAAGTAAAAAATGGGGGAAGGAAAGGGAATTAAGGAAAATATACGTCTTAAACACGTAGCACTAAAATAATGCCGAGAGAAGGTTTCCGCTGTTATCTTGATTGTTTTCTTCTCCATGCGCATGCCATATGTGGTTTTAGGGGAGCAATAGTTCCACTTTTCACAAGTTGGGGTTGTGTAAAAGGATGTCCACAAAGAAACGATTTGTAAAAGAATTTGCGTACAAGTTTAGGGGGTAAAGTACGTACTAAAGGCATTGATATTAAATGCCGAAGTAAGATAGATGCAAGGGCATAGAAGAATTGGTTACAAGTTTATCATAAGACAAGAAATAAGTAACCTGTTAGCTAAAAAAGTAAAACTTATTCACTTTGACTCAGAACAGGAAAAATTTAGGACCTGGAATTATAATGGAACAACTTAAATTTAGGAAAAGGAATCCAAAGCAAAGTTAGGTCACGGCAGCAACTTCGTAATGATTTGTAACTGCAGTTAAAAGGCGAAAATAGAAGGAAATGACCTGCCAGTAAAATCGGAGCCAGTTTTCATCTATAATTGAATCTGAGTCATCTAGTTCCTTCCATTTCTGAGACAGCATATGAGCCAAATCAATTTCACCATATTCGAGAACCATGTATATGTATCCGTCTTCTTTGACTCTGCTTTCATTATTACTCATCGAACCATTCATGACTTCATCTAGTAACCTCTTATCTGTGACCTAACAAAAAAACGGATGTCAGTATTTGCTCAAAAACTAATATGCAGATATCGAAATAGTGACCCCAACACCAAATACAGGCACATGAAATTCTAGCCTCTTCGGTAAGCCTATACTTTAGGTTGAGTAGCTAAGTTAGCAATTTAAACACAATAATACCTGGAGACAATCGATCATTCTGTGATCTCAAAAGAAATGCAAGCAACCCAGCTTTTGTTTTATTGTTTAATAAACCCATAAGATTTTAACTCTTCAAGACTAGGAGATCTGTCTACCAGCTTTTTAAACTGTAGCTACTACTACATTACAGACTGAATGTTCTGAGTTCAAAATCAAGAGAATCATCATGAATATTATGTAAATATTTTCTTAATCGTTACATTATGGTCAAGAATCATTAAGATATATGTCATAATATTTTTTATCCTGGGAATTAGGAAACGTCATGCTCATATTACTATATAAGGAGCGCTAGTGTTCATTATAAAATAATTTCAAAAGAAGTGTTCTTTCTCTTTTCTATCTTCTCATCCTTGTGTAGTTCTCATCTCTCCAGGCTTCAATAAGCCTATGGAGCTGCCAAGGTTTCAACATGGAAATGTCCAATTACAGATTGATGGACATTCATATAGCAGCACAAAAAACTTAACTACTCCCTCCATTTCAATTTATGTGAGGTAGTTTGACTTGGCACAGAGTTTAAGAAGAAGAAAAAAAAGACTTTTAAAACTTGTGGCCTTAAAAGCTTAAAGGGTTAAAGCTTTGTGGAGTCATAACATATATGTGAAAGCTTCTCGTTAACGGTAAAATGAAAGTTTAAAATTAAATTGTTTCCAATATCATTTTTCGGAACGAACTAATAAAGAAAGTGTGTCATACAAATTGAAACGGAGGTTGTATAAGTTTTCTTGACTGTACACCAATAGTGAGATGTATGAGAAAAAGAAACTTGAACACTACGAAGATAAGTTATTTGGGAACTGATATAGATTAGCATCCTTGAATGTTCTAGCTCTCACTTTGATCAGTACTAGTCTAAGAAGTTAAGGAATTCAAAAACATGTTCCCAGAGTGCCACCCTCCCCCCCTAAACTAAAAGCTTCTTTTTAAATCTAATAAACTCCCCAAATGCCTAAGCAACCTTATCAATCCAATGGTAAAGAATTATTGGATGATGTTCAATGTTGGATGATCTGCTTAACTTAAAGAAAAACTTTTTTCTTTTTCCTTTTATCTGTTTAGCAGACAATTAACGCACGGGACTAGCTTGAACTATGGAGAAGCATTCCAAAAAGTAAGTGAATAAGTAGCAGAGAGACTAGATATATGCACTGCAAGTTTAGCCAATATAAGAAGAGTGAAATCGTGGTGAGATTAGACGGGATTGTAGTGTCTACGAGCAAGCAATTCGAAGTCTAGGATTGAGATTCGAAGAGAATGGCATGATAGGCGAAGATGTAACACATAGTCAATATAGGATGATTGGAATGGAGAAATTCTATTGTAAAGTTATGTGATAGGAAGATACCTACCAAAGTAAAATCAATTACTATCAAAACACTTGTAAGACCGACAATGTTATATGGAATGAATGTTCGGCCTCTAAGATCCAACATATGCACAAGATGTGTGTTGCACAAATATGGATGTCAAGATAAATATGTAGTTATACAAGATTAGAAATGATCACATTCGGCAGAAGGTGCAAATAGCACACATGGAGGACAAATGAGTGGAGAGAAGGTTGCTTGAGAAGTTTTTTTCTTTAGGCATAAGGTAAGGTAGCTTGAGATGGTTTGATCATGTTCTACGTTCACCTCCAAATGCACTGGTTTGAGGTGTGAAACTCTGGTGATTGAAGGTGTTAAAAGGGGGTGAGATAAACCTAAAATCACATGGAAGGAGTTTATCCTAAGAGAACTGCAATCTCTTGGAATCCATGCAAACTTAGTGGGGATACCAATTAGTTGGGATTAAAGCTTAGTCATGTAGATACTCTTATGTTAGATCAAATATCCATTAGGAGTCTTTAATCTCGTTAGAGTTCATACTGCAGTAGTAGAAAATGTAGAGAACTTCTAGTGTTAGAAAGCCTAAGTTATTGATTAGTATCAGATTGAGACGAGTCTGAGTGAGTGACATGGATAGTGAGAGTTCATATAGTGGCCCTCGGTAGTTGGGATTGAGGGGTAGTTGTTGTTGTTTACTTTTTAAGCATTTTTAACTTACGCAGCTTTTCCTAGAGGCTAGAGGTAATCCTAGGAAAATCCAACTGCTGTTACTATTCTGTCAGCATGTTCACTGATGAGCAACTACCATCGCCCTCCTGTTGGCCACAGAATGTTTTCAATTTTCACCCATGAAATAACAACCTAGTTTTGATTTTGTTTCCCTGATCTTTTCAACTAGAACATAAGCCAGAGTTCAACCCCAGTAAACTTGTCATTTTCGAAAGAAATCTTAAATGCTATGCAAAGTACAAACCTCATAGTCAATTAGTTGAATAATGTTGTTCTTCCCCTTCAGTCTCTTTAAATACTCAATTTCCTGACAAAACCCATATGAAGTAGCATAGTCACGACCTTTAAGCTTGATTTTCTTCAACGCATAAATTGAGCAATCTGATGCAATGACTTTGTGGACCTCACTACTTCCACCACTACCTATCTTTCCAAGCCTTTGGTAATGCTTTCCATTAACTTTGAAAAATGTATCAGGATCATAACTTTTTTTACGAGAAGAAGATGGCGCCTTACTGCCTATGCTTTTTTCTTCCTTTTTAGACTTAGAAGGTTCCAACTTCACGTTGGAAGATGAAACCTTTGACAAGGGAGCTTCTAATTGTATATCGGTGACACATTCTTTGGCTGAGTTATCTTCAAGAGGGGAAGTATCTTTAGGCATGTCACCTGTAATCGGCATACTACTCTTTTGCCCTTCAGCCAGATTATGTCTCTTAAATTCTGAATCAGTTCCAATGGTAGAACTAGGTACTGCCACATCTGTCTGATCAACTGAAAATTTGTTTTCATGCTTTGGAAAAGGACATGACGGCTGCATTCGATGTTCGGATTTAAGTTTAGGTTCCCCCAGTGACTCCATAGAGTTGCTCGTTAGATGAGGTTGTGAACAATAGGTTGTTGAGTTTAGCATGGGAGCAGATGTGGAGTTTATCAATGTAGTCGTTGTGCAGGATGACCCAACGACTGAAGCTTGAGTCATAGGATGGCTCAAATCATTCCGTAAGAAGTTCCTGAATTGGTGAATCTGATCTGCAACTCCTAATGTTCTATTTGCCAATAGAGAAGAATTCCCGTTACCATCCACATCTGTGCTTTGGATATTTTGATCTCTCAAGACTTGGCTAGCAGCAGTCACAGCCTCCATCTGATTGCCTACATCCCAATCCATTTCTGCCAATGTAAGTGAATTCACATGAGATAACAAGCACTGTTCTAGTGACTGTTTGGTCATTGACACCTGCATAAAGCATATGTAGTATGTACTATAATCTGCAAACTACTAAACTGACCTAGTTCACAGTAGGTTAGCCAGTAAGACACACAGATTATTCAGTCGATGAAATATGCAAAAGCTCAAGATATGTCTAATAGAAAAGATGGTCATATGCAGTGAAGTTAGAGGAGTTCATAAATGAAGCATACTATCATTACCCTGCAACTTGGAAGTGCTATCAGCAGCAAAATGGACCCTCTTCTGCCCTTCAGCCAATAAAACATGTTCACACTCTGTAACCGACGAAGCAGCTGTGATGTTGCTTCTACGACCAGCAAAGGATCTTGGTTGATCTCTCAAACTGTTGAAAGAATTATAATTCTCTTCATGTGCATCCACAGTGGAACCATATTCCGAAGGTGGCATAGACGCATCCTCTTGATCTTCTACAGTAACAGAGCCAATGTTCTTTGGTTGTGAAATACATTCCATTAGTCTGTGACTCAGAGAAATCTCATCTTGGGTCTTCTTTGTATCAAGTGCACAATCTGTATTCAAAGTAGAGCCTTTTGAAGCTCCCCGCTGAGGAGCTACCGATCTCCTTGGCATAAGAACATTTGACTGCATTGTACCTAAAGAATTCTTATGTTAGATCTCTTGGCTTTTAAAGTTGTCTTTGAGTGGTGAATCAGAATGGCCAAGCTCCAAAATTTTGGGAGAAAGGAAAAAAACAAAATAAGACAAAGCAAAACATAAAAGAAAAGAGAAAAGCTCTTGGAAGCCCAACTTTATCTTAACAGAAAGCAATTTCCAAAAAAAAAAAAATCAAACTTGAAACAGATGCATTTAAAATGGGAAAGGAGAACTTAAGTATGGTCAGAAAAGGTAACTGCAAGATGATCAAATCGTTGCTGGGAGGATAGTGAAATTTATAGTGATAAAATAAGGTGAAAGCAGAAGTAATCAATATAACAATATATGTGGTAGTTTAATGGAAATAATGACTATGATGCCAATCATTAGCAAATAAGTGCCAGCGAAAAAGCACCATTGCTTTTCAGTTTCTAGCATGTTCATTAGGTGAGGGTTCGACTTTCAAGTGAAACATTTAGAAAGAGATGAAAATGCATATGCATCAGGACGACAAGCAGCCAGTATGAGGTTTATCAAAAGAGAAACAAAAAAGCCTAAGACCGTGCAAATTAATAAAATAGAAAATACGAGAGCCAAGAATTTTATACAAGGGGATTCAAAAGTGGCAACTTTTGAACTCCCTTTGCCACCACACTAGAATTTTCTCTTAGGTCTAAGCGATTCAACAGCTTTATTTTTTACCCCAAAAAAATATTGTTTTTGCCCTATTTGCACAGTATATTTTTTCCTTCGTTTAACCTAGCTCCACTACTCTCAATACTACAAAATTACCAAAAATTGATAGGAGATGTCACCAGAAACCCTAGAAGCTTACATACACTATAGAGATATAAAGCCCTAAAACAGCCAAAACATTAGAAAAGATAATTATCACCAAAAGAAGCCCTAAAAAGTAGTAGCAGCACTGAGAAATAGTTACCGAGCGGACGAGGGCGTTTGATGGCTTGAATGTGACGGATTAAATCCGACTGAGAAGATGAGGAAGACGACGGCGTCGCTGTTGTCAACGAACGGCTGACGTTGGCGGATTCTGACGGATGAATGGAAATGGTCTTACTCCCTGTTACTGCTGGTTGGCGTTCTAGAAGGTTCGCCGTCTCACTTTCCATTGATCAATTGCGACTTGCATTTCTCTCCAATTTGTTCGCTACAGTAGTGCACAATTCGCTGATAGAAATATCGGTACATATCCGTACATATCCATATATATAGGAACAGAGAGAGAGAGAGAGATGAAAATTTAGATAGTGTTTAGTTTATGAAAATGGTGACGAATCTGTGGATCCATGAACACCACTGTGAAGAGAGAGAGAGAGAGAGAGAGAGAGAGAGAGAGCGCTTAGGTGAGAGAAAGGCTTTCTCATAAGTTCAAAATGGCTTCTTGGCGCTCCACAAATGGGCTGCTTCCTTTGCACTTTCCGCCCTAGTGTGTGTCATTTTGCACTTTGCACCCTATTCATTTTATCTTTAAGTTTCAACGTCTTCTATGGAGAAAATAATTCAAACGGCAAAAAATACCCCTCAATTATGGAAAATAGATAACTTTCACCTTCATTTGAATTTGAATTTGTTCTTAAATATGTGCTTCGGCGTCGTTTGTTATAGAAATGTTAAATGAGTATACTAGTATAAATTTTATACCAAATACTGGTATTAGTTATCCCATATAAAATGTGTAATAGGCTAATCCCATTGGATATTCCAGAATTATAATCTCATGGAATATCCCAAAATTGAACCACATTGTTAGTCGACCGACTCATATGTGCCCCTCAACTATAAAAAATAGAACAAATTTTCTCTCATAGTTAAAACTTTGTCCCAAATATGCCCTTATCATTAGTTAAGAGAGTCGAATCACATCTAATTTAATGTCATGAAGTTTAACATCAATTAAATAGAACACAAATTCAGAAAACCAAATATTTTTCATAAATAAACAATCTTTAAGAATTCAAAACCAAATTAAAATAAATTAATGAGAAAATAATTGAAAGTAAATAGAGAAATTGTAGGGAAATATTATGCACACTTAATAAAAAAAAATTATCTTACTGGAAAAACTATGATCATTGCCATGCCAAAAACAAATGATAAAGTATTAATTTTATTTATCTTCTTTGTCCGTTGTTTCTTTTAACACTTCATGTGTATTGTTCTTGAACTCCATTTTCTCCAAAAATAAAGGGCAACTTTCAAACTATTCTAAAGAATATGATCAATACTTGTAGGTTGGAGTTTCATGCTTGCAATTTATTCCAATAAATATTATATTTTCACTGGCTGTGATTATAACTGTGTGTTTATTAACAAAAAAAATTACATTAGTAATCACAAGTTCACAACTAACCTCAAGTTGCCCATTTTTGCTCGGGCATTTACATTATAGCCTACAAAAATAGTTACACGTGGTTGTTGTAAAAGGACCCATTTTAGTAACCCCCTTACATTTTGTTTGGTTATTATCTATTGTATTGTATCGTATTGTTACTTTAAATACAATGTTTGTTTTGATTGTTACTTAAATTTTATTGTATTGTATTGTTAAATTCATCGTTACGTAACGACGAAAAGTGCTACTTTATGAAACGACAGATTTGGTGTGGTGGCGTTGTTTCCTTGCTTTTTTTCTCTCATCTTGCCCTTCCTTATAATTACATAATTATATTTTATCTTTTACCCTACTTTTTTATATAATAATTTTACTTTGTATCCTATTTTTTCTTAGTAATTTTGCAAGTTTATTCTTCATATTGTTCGTGCGTGACATCATGAAACGACAACAAATGATACAATCTATTAAAACGTTGTATTCATCAAACAATACAATGCAATGTAGTATAATACAATACGATACATTATGAAACGACCTGTAACAACAATCCAAACAAGTTGTTAGCTTCATTGTGAAGCAAACTTTGTGGCCGTGAACTAATAGTTGAATCCTGAGAGAGCAGGCTAGAAGGAAAAAAAAAGTAGAATAAGTTTTTAAAAGATATATTCATTTAAGGTCAAGACACCTGCAAGACAAAGAAAACTGAATAAAGTATAACATAATCTAACAACAGAAAGTAAAGAAGTAGGTGGAAACAAAACAGTACGATGATATAATGCTAACAACAAAAATTAGAGCAATAAAGGACAACCAGAGTGAACATATGATAGGAACAACAAGTGATCAAGTACCATAAAAGTTCAAGTAACAACAAGTGAAGGAAAGACAATAACACATTCAAATCAACAAGTCTTTTCACATAGAATGTACAACAAGAATCACAACTGAGGTCCTACACCTCACTTTCACATTTCACAAGTCATAATCACAATTTTCCTTATATCGCCGCGTGAGCCTTGTATTTATATTTTTAAAAATATTTTTCTCGAAATAACTACACGCGCTTTAGCCCCCTTATCTCACTGTGTGGCTTCAAGTAATACCCTTACTAGCAACACGCGTATAAATCTCACCTTATCTCGCCGCATGCACGCCAACCCCTATCCTTTTACCGCCGCATGCGCATCAATATCATATCACAATAATCAACTCGCACTACACGTGCCCATATGCCACAATATTTTCAAAAGCAACAATACTAATGTACAACAATACATAACCCACGGCTCAACCACAATATGTACAAGAATTTCAAAAATAACAAAATAAATGAGAAACAACTCAACAAGAGAAAGGTATCCCAATAATCAACAACCCCAACCACAATGTGTTAATAGATTTCACAAATACAACTTCAATAACCCAACAATGAAGGTGTTTTCATGAAATGACGACTTCCAATTCAAGTACATAACAGAAGCTTAACAATGAAAGAGATAGCACGAAATAGCAACTACGACTAAATGCATGAGAATAATTCAACAATGGAGAGAATAGCATGTAACAACAACTACAAATAAATGCATATAAGTGTAACATTAACAATAGAAACTAGTACATATAATAATAACTTCAATTAAGGAATGTAAGAATGAAATTGACAACTAAAGATAGAACAAATAATAATAACTTCAATTAAGTATTAAAAGTAACCTAAAAGTCTAAACCGGTCAAATACCACATATAAGCCCGTGTACACACTCGTCACCCCATGTACATGTCTTCTACATAATTCGAATAGTACAAACAACCCAAATCCTAAGGGATAGTTTTCCACACATACAAAGTTAGGCAAGATACTTACCTCAACTAGGCCAAATCAATACTCAAAAATAACTTTTCCCTGAAGGTTCGCCTATGCATGGTTTAAATCTAACCAAAACTCCTTAATATCATCAAACAATACAAGAGAAACCAATTGCGATTAATAAAGCTATGATCTTTACACAATTTCTCAAAAGTCAATAAAAGTCAACCCCGACCTTACCCGATCAAAACCTAGGTCCAAGGATAGATCCCGACTACCCATAATCCCACGAGTCCATATATATTTTTGTTTTCAAATCCGAGTCAATTCGACTCTCAAATCCCAAATTTTTATTTTTCAAAATATAGATACAATTTTCCAAAATTTCTCTTTGATTCTCATAAATTTGATGTTAAATCTCATATATAATCATGTAATATAGTTGGAAATTGATCAAAATCACTTACTCAATGATTGTAGGTGAAAATCCCCTCTCCAAATCGCCTCCTAATGAGATCAAATCCCGACTTCCCAACCCTTTTGTTCAGGTGTTGTAATGACCCAGCCGATTGTTTTGAGTATTGTAGCCCTGTTCCCCCATTTATTTCTTATTATATGTTTATTTGTAGTTATGTGACTTGCCGGGGTAGTTGGTTTGGTTCCGGGAGTGTTTCAAAATGAATTGGGATACTTGGTCCCAAGGTTGGAAGCTCAAGTTGAAAGAGTTGACTGGATGATGACTTATGGGTAAATGACTCTAGCATAGAGTTTTGATGGCCCTGATAGCTTCGTATGGTGATTGTAGACTTAAGAGTATGTCCTGGATATTGATTTAGAGATCCGCAGGTCGTTTTGGCTTGAATTGGCGAAAGTTGGAAAGTTGAAGGTTTATAAGGTTGCGAAGTTTGACCGAGAGTTGACTTTGTTGATACCAGGCTCGTATTTTGGTTTCAGGAGTTAGGGTAGGTCTGTTGTGTCATTATGACTTGTGTGTAAAATTTAAGCTCAATCAGAGTTGGTTTGATAGGTTTCGACATTGGTTTTAAAGGTTGGAAATCTATTAGTTTCAATAGGCTTGAATTGGGACGTGATTCGTGTTTTTGATGTTTTTTGATGTGATTTGAGGCTTCAACTAAGTTTTTATCATGTTTTAGGACGTGTTGGTATGTTTGGATAGGGTTCCGGGGGACTCGGGTGTGATTCCAATTGAAATCGGAATGAAGTTTGGACTTGGAGAAAATCTATTGGGTTCAATTCCGGTGTAACCGCACCTGCGAGGAATTGGCCACAGGTGCGGAGCCACAAAAGCGGCTAAGAAGGCGCAGATGCAGGGTTTGGCTAGGCCGGGCAGTGGCCACATGTGCGAGGTAGTTTCTGCATCTGCGAGCCTCCAAGTGCGAAGAAGCTGCCACAAATGCGAATTTTGGTCAAGGGGAAGCTAGGGTCGTAGAAGTAGAGGAGATATGCAGATGCGGTCCCGCAGGTGCGGGTCTTGGACAGCAGAAGCGGGATTTGGCAATATTAATGAATTTTCTTAGAAGCGAAGGAATTTCTGCAAAAGTGGATCCGTAGGTGTGACTGAGGAGGTTAAGACGGCATTCAGGACCCGCTATGGCCACTACGAGTTCCTTGTGATGTCTTTTGGGCTGACCAATGCCCCAACATCATTTATGCATCTGATGAACAGTGTATTCCAGCCATATCTTCATTCTTTTGTCATAGTATTTATTGATGATATACCGATGTACTCATGCAGCCAGGATGAACATGCGCATCATCTGAGGAATGTACTACAGACATTGAGGGAGAAGAAGCTTTATGCTAAATTCTCTAAGTGTGAGTTCTGGCTTGATTCTGTGGCATTCTTGGGGCATGTGGTGTGTAGTGAGGGGATCAAGGTAGATTCGAAGAAGATTAAGGCAATTTAGAGTTGGCCCAAACCGTCTTCAGCTATTGAGATTCGGAGTTTTCTCGGCTTGGCCAGATATTATCGCTATTTTGTGGAGGGTTTCTCATCTATTGCTGCACCTTTGACTAGATTGACCCAGAAGGGTGCCCCATTCAGGTGGTCTGATGAGTGTAAGGAGAGCTTTCAGAAGCTCAAGACTGCCTTGACTACAACTCCAGTTTTAGTTTTACCTTCAGCATTGGATTCATATATAATGTATTGTGATGCTTCTCGGATATGTATTGGGTGTGTCTTGATGCATGAGGATAGGGTGATTGATTATGCTTTACAGCAGTTGAATCACCATGAGAAGAACTACCCCA